CTGATCAATGACTCTGTCTCATCATTGATGCTTCTATCTCTTTCTTCCTCTCTGATATCAATAAAAATATACTTTTTAAAAAAGTACAGTGGGTAACCCATGATTAGGCATTTATTAACATCAGGCTTGTAGAACAAAAGCGTTTGGGTTACTCATCAACAGAAGTCAAACAGCACGGACTGTTCTTTCTGCAGGCAGTTTCCAAGTCCAAGGAGCAGAGTCGTGCTCTGCAAGCAGCCTCAGAGTGCAAACTGCAGAGATACAAATGTTGAACCACAAATTATGATATTAAAGTTCTTCTAAGTCCTCATAAGGAAGCATAGAGAAAGCAGATTTGGGGTAAAATAGAATTCTGTTTCAGGCATGTTAGGTTTGAGATGCATTTTAGACACCAGGATCTAATACGATGTCAAACAGGGAAGAAGCTGGGACTGGACTTCCAGCTGCTGGAAGTAGATGGTATTTAAAGCTATGGTGCTCTGGGCATCACTTTGTCAGAGAGAAGGCTAAGAAGCGGCCCCCGGCACTGGTGTGCCAATATTTTGAGGTGAAGTAGAGGAATCCACCAAAGAGACTGTGAAAAACAAAACAAAACATGAAGAAAAACCAAGAGAGCATGGAGAGTCCTATCATGAAAGACTTCTCCAGGAGCTAACTATGTCCGTTGGTACCAGGATGACAACAAGGACAGATAATACTCCTGAACTGGCCTGATGGGGAGTCACAGAACTTGACAAGGTGGGTTACCTCACTTCTGGTGGGAAGGAACTGGAAACAGCGCATGTTCCTCTCTCTACGTTAAGGAGAGAGGTTCTTACATTCTGGTTCATGAATAAAGGAGATCATGGATGGGTTTCAGGAAAACTTATCTCAAACTACAAACACTGCATGCGTGCATTTTCTGGAGACACCTCCATAGTTTTCATGAAGGTTATCAATGCTATGTGCCTGCCCAGCCTCCAGACCCTTATTTAGAGGCCGCCTGCTAGTACATCCACTCTCCTTTAGGCTTCCTGGCGCAGCCTCTATGCAAAAGCTTCGTCCTGTCTCTGCACCACCCAAGTCCAGCTTTTATTGATTTACTATTATCATTATTGTTATTATCATTATTACTATTATTATTATTTTTGGTTTTGGTTTGTCTTTCCCAAGTCCAGCTTTTATTGATTTATTATTATTATTGGTTTTGGTTTTGGTTAGTCTTTCTCAAGTCGAGCTTTTTATGCCCAAGCATCAGGGCCAATGCTTCCCGCCTCCTCGGCTCCGGCTCCGCTAGGCGCTCCGCGAGGGGCGGGGCCGGCTTGGCGCGCACCGCCGTCTGGGAACAGCTTTACGACATATTGACTTTCATTCTACGACAGGCGGGGCTGCTTTGTGGCTGTCAACTTTCCCCGAGCTCCGAGCTGGTAGCCACATTAGCGTGGAGGCTGCAGCGGCGACGGCGGAGCGATGAGGCAGA